TWTTKWKAWMRSGSSYYTWTRACAGATTCCAAARTATTGTATCTTTCTCACAGAACCAGCGGTAACTCAGATTGTACAGATTCTATTGAATATAAAATACTATCTMAAAATCGCTAAACGATGTTCAAAAGCKCCCCAAAATATTTTGAGTGGYTTTGTGCAATATTTGGTAAAATCGGGCAAYGTCGCTAGGAGTTAGTGCGACTTTTGGTGCCAGAGTAGACCTGAACTATGAATAGCCCTAGTATCAGTGCCGTGAAATAGCTGTTATATTCGAGTCTATTGTATTTTTAGGTAAAGGACGAATGCCAGGGCTGCTTGAGCGGTGGAACGTGCATGTCGTCACAATCAGGACATAAATGCTTATGCCATTTTGGATACAAAGGCAACAGATGTGAAAAACAAGGTTTGTCACAATTACCCGCATGAAAAACTCAAAACTTGCCTAAAACTTGCCGTTTTTTTTTCATGAATCATGAGCTCACTCAACTCTTTTTGGTAGTCCACTTCTCGAAAACAAACGAGCCTCGGGCATTCAGAAGCTTCAGGTTTCTGTGGAATATTTGAAGGAACGCAGTTCACTATCAATCTCTCTCTTCAAATTTACCCTAATAATTTTCAATACATTCAACTAGTATGCTTTATTTCTAGTGAATCAAGACTGTTCAACCCTATTAGCAGCAGGATACCACGAGAACGGAGTTTATACAATACATCCGGACGGTAAGGGCAAGTTTCCCGTCCTTTGTGATATGAAAACTAATGGAGGTGGATGGATTGTCATCCAAAAGCGCTTTGATGCATCCGTCAGTTTCAACCGCCTCTGGATAGAGTACAAGAAAGGTTTTGGTGAAATGAAAAMTGGTGAATTCTGGCTCGGGAATGACTATATTCATCGCTTAACAGAAGCCAGGCCGATGAAGATACTTATCGAGCTGGAAGACACTAATGGCCTACGCAGTAATGCCAGCTATTCAACCTTCAACGTGCAAAATGAGAGCAATTTGTACCGTTTAGATTTTTCGGTGTATTCAGGCAATGCCGGCAATGCCTTAAATCACTGGAGATCCTCATGGAGGTCAAAAGGTATGGCTTTTAGTACGCCGGACAGGGATAACGATCAGTATGTAGGGAGCTGTGCTATTGAATCGTCCTCTGGATGGTGGTTCAACTGGTGCGCTGGAGGGTCGTTAAATG